CTGGCAAACATTTATTAGAAGTACCGAATGTGCGCCTGAAGAGCTATGGGGACCGGGCCTTCTCAGTCAATGCCCCAAAGGACTGAAATGACATTCCCTTAGACATTACATTAAGTCGATCAGTTAACGTCTTTAAATCAAGATTGAAAACTTATCTTTTCAGACTTGCTTTTAATTGATTTTGTCTTGGTAAGATTGTCAGTTAGATATTTATTAGATTGTAAAGCGACATAGAGCTTTTGTATATACCACTATAGAAATAAAGTTATTGTTATTGGCTTGGCTTCCCCCAACACAGTCACAGTCCCGCTCAGTCTAATGACTTGCATAGACTGAAGCCGAGAGGAATTGTGGAGGAGGAACTTAGACTGTTTTGTAAGATTATCAAAAAAACAACAACAGAAAACGATTTGAATCAACAGTACCTCTTCTGAGTAATTCTAACTGCCTGCACTACTTCCTTGCTCCGAGTCCCTTTCCCTATCTTCACTTTTCCTAAACTAAAAACAAAGAAAAAAATCCAAACCAAACTTTAAAAGAAGAAATCTAATGATGATCTATTCAGTTTACGTTTAGTTTGACAAAAATCTCATTAACCAGCCCTAACCTGGAAGATGAAACTGGCACAGCTTTCTTTGGAGTTTTTTTTTTTTTTTGCTTCTTCCCTCATCTGCTACAAAGGAAAGTGATATAAATATAATATTAATATATATAGTAACAGGCAGATAGGCTACAGATATGTTCCTCAGGTCTGTAGCATATCTGTGAAATAACTGCATGACCTATCTGTAACATATCTGTAACATATAGGAATTTGCCCAAAATTTCTAGCTGTGACAGATAAATTGTGACAGATATGAAAAACCAACAGTACTTACATATCTGTGGAAATATCAGCTACTACAGATATGTTAGCTATAGGGGAGACTATCAAGGGTGGCATAGGGAACCAGTGTAGTTCATTAATTAAGAACAAAATAATGAATAAGACACTGCAATGTTATCTATTTGACATAGTTTATTGATATAAATTAAGTAATTAATATGTAATATGCAATTTTTATTTCTCTTCTAATCAACAAGAACATAGAAACCTAAAAAATAATTAAAAAATACAGGAATAATCATAAAATTGTGCTAAAGTTCTTATGGCTTTAAATTTGTTTTTGGTTTTTTTTATACTCCTCTTCAAGCTCCACAGCACTTATCTTGCAAGGTTTTATTTACAACTGTGGCAGCCTGCTTTCTATAATTTTTCTCATCCAGAACAAAACCTAGGAAGCAATGAAAAGACAAATGTTCAAGTCAGTTCTCAAATGATTGAAATTGTGGATTACCAACAATTACAGCCCAACAGGTGATTATGTTGGTAACATGGAGTTTCATAATCTAAAATACTAACAAAAATCTCAACCAAGGAGAGTACAGTAGTTTGTCCATGCACACTGTACCTATAGATTGCCAGAGATTGAGATCACCTCTTAGAATATATAGCCCCCTTTAATAACTTATTATAATCAATCAATCACAATGATGAAAGACACCGTCCAAAGTGACAGTGTAAGGTTGGTTAGCAAGGGAAGTAGTAATCAATTCTGCAAAAGACTAGCACTTCATAAAAAAAAATATCACCATGATGGCTTAATTAGTTATACTGGCAAAGAAGAAAGTAATTCATATTAGTTTTATCAAACACTCTTTAACTTTGAAACATGAAATAGAGGCAAAGAACCATTTAAGGAATTGAACTGTTCAGATAAAAAAGAAAAAATGAGGGGTTATTCTGTTTACATAACACAAAAAGTGAGAATCATCACTGAGAACCAGCCCTTTCCCATATGCATCCTCCCAGAATGTGTCACACAAGGAGCCTGCCTCAACATCATCACCTGAGTAAAGTTCACAAGGTCAAAGTCTATATGGAAAAAAGGAATCAGCAACCAAGCTTATCCATTTGAAGTAAGTCTTGCTACAAACAATTATTTCATAGTTTCGATATAAGCGAGGTCATTATTCACAACTGCAGTGAACGAAATAAACAAAGAAAGTTTTAACTTTCACCAATAATAACAATTATAAAAATAACATTTATTATTTGTATTGCGCTTTTTCTATAAAATGTTAAAGAGCGCATCACAACGGTAATTAATAACTAAGATTATACAATTCTTTCTATAAAAATCATAAATTATATATATTTATTTACATTAAGATAACTAAAATGATTCCTTAAATAAAAATGTCTTAAGTAAAATCTTAGAAGATTCTAAGTTCATTGCTTCGTGCGCAGACCTTGGCAGCTTAAAACAAAGGGTGTCACTCACCATTAACCTCTTGAAAACGTGTTGATGCTTTGGTAATTCGTTGATTCCTTTTTGACATTTGGCAGATCAACCCCTCTATTAACTCCACTGTATTTTGAAGATCACATCGATGGTTCAAATGGATCACTGCATGGTTTCGAATTCTTCAACAGCTGAAAATGGATGGTCAGGCTTCACACTGCAGGACACAGTTTTTGAATCAGGCTAACTTGTGCATTGCGTCGAAGTACAAAATTATGAAGAACTTGCTTCACACGTTTATGAAAACGTAGAAGAACCGAACAGTAATGAAATAATTCCAGAGATAATTTCAGTTGACGATCGATAATGGCGGGACAGCTGATCCAAGTAAGCTAAACACTTTTGAAGAAAACAACGACCCACTAGTTTATAAAAGGTTGAGCTGTTTTCATGTTAGATTTGCAAAGCAAGTAAATTGATGCACAGATAGAAAAATGGTTGATGTGTGAATTTTTTTCTGGACCCTACAGTTGTAATCAGTATTTGTTCTTGTTGAAGGACACAAGGTTAAATACCACAATAAAGAGGATTTTTAAAGACACATGGCTGAGAAGACCCTCTTTTGCAAACTGTTACATGTCACTCAATCAATATGCTATTTTCCATAGAGATCTTAGTAGTTTTGCACAATTAATTGTTTAAAAGTTTGGTAGTTTGGACACTCAATTTTTGGTCAGCATTTAATTAAATAAATTATGGTGAGCTCCTAGTAGGGGAAATTCAAATAATTATCATGACTGGTATATGATGACAATT